CCCTTTCCTTACGGTGTCCTGACCACTGTTTCGAACCGGGCACCGGATGTACCCTCTGATAACCACACTCAACGATCCGAGAATTACCCATGAAGCATCGCTGTCCCAAATCTCAACAATCACTCAACCCATAAGGGTTAGAAGCCATGAACCATCGGATCCCTGATGCGAATCCCATTCTATCCAATCCGTGATGACAGAAAGGCCCACTCTTCAATCCCAGAGCAACTCCCATGAGTCCTCTTCTTGCAATCAAGCACCCAAGCCGCACCAACCTTCGCACTCTCGGGTTAGGAAAACCCGTCGCACTGATGACATCTCTAACATCCCCAGGAGAAACCACCACTACGCACACGGCCCTTGATCAGAATCAAGCTGGGAGTCCCAGACTCCATCCCTACATCCAACCTGAGACTCTTGGCTCTACACCCGCGAAATCCCTTCCGCATCCTCAGCAGACATCCCATCATGATGTCATTCCATACCATTATCACAGACACAATGTTCGACCACCATATTCCAAATCATCCATTCTCACTACAACTTCCACTTCCGCGAATCGACACTTTCCTCAACAAATGAGGGTCCGACACTTCCTCCCATACAACAGCACAAAGGGTGGCATACCAATGCACTAATGATGGCTGTTGAAATAGGATAACTCAACCAAGGATAAATACGTGCCGCAACACCCTCCGAAATCTAATACACATGCCCGAAGCATGTCTTTGAGCGTCTGAATCGTTCACTCCTTCTGAGGTGTCCTCAGACATCATCATGATAAGTTCTAGCTCATCTCATATCCCTCTTCGAGACTGGGCACCAGGTCAGCTTTTGACTCCACAGCTGAGCCTCCAAAGGTCACCCAAATCATGATCCAAATATCCCACTAACTACCTCCTCGTGACCACTATCCCGGCCCCGTGACACGCAAGTCACGAAATTCTCTTTTCCTTATGCAAGAAAGTACAATCCAACCGAGGATCGTCTCCACTCTGATCTCTGGTTTCTGCTGCGCATATCCCTTGTGCATCTCACCACATTCCCCGACAGAGACGGGGACCCCAGTCTCGCCCCCGATCCAACATCCAGGCTCCAAAAACTCAATACTAGGGCTACTCAAGCCCAAAACTCTTCCACATCATACACTGATTGGAGAACATTCCATCATCACACTCTCTTGCCATCTAGTGAGCACTACGGCTCCTCGCGGTATCACAACACCCTCTGACTAGTGAGTACTACGGCTCCCCGCAGTATCACAACACCCTCTGACTAGTGAGTACTACGGCTCTCCGCAGTATCACAACACCCTCTGACTAGTGAGTACTACGGCTCCCCGTAGTATCACAACACCCTATGACCCCACTAGCTCGTGCTCCACAGACTATCATAGGCGGCTACCCATACTCGTCTCGAATATTCATCACAGACTCTGGAAGCAATCGTCATAACAGATGCCCACCCTTGCGAAGATCCACTCTCCCAAGTAATCTCCCTGGATGCCCATACTCAAAGGGCTCTCACTAGATCCATAGATACCTGATATACCACAAGTCATCTCAACTCAAGATTCGCGAGTAACTCCGAAATAAAGATATCAATACCCGGATACCTCGGAACACCCCTACCGAACATCACGAGATCCTGCCACAACCACATATCTCCTGCCCCAAGCACCATATAGATGCAATAATACATTCCCTCTGAACCCCATAACTAGATCTTCATTTTTCCCAAGTTGCAACTTCGGTGTATTCAATTTCTCAATTGCAATACGAAGAAACGCTAACGCTACGAAATATGCTGATAATTCTCCGAAACCCTTTTTCCCGCTGCTCAAAATCCAAACAAGGATACGCATACTGACCCAGGAGTTGGCTGCCCAATCATTCTCTATCTACTCGCCCCAACACTGACCAATACCAGATTCCTGATTAATAAACACCTATCGTGGAGACATTCATCCTTCTCAAACAAGTACTTCCCGTATTAACTCACTCTGACCCCTTTCCTCGATCACCGACATCTCTGGTCTCATGATTTCTTACCGCATATGTCTATACTCCACTTATAACTGCTCTTGACAAATCTCTGCTTTCTTACATACGACACCCGGTTCTCCCCCACTTAGGGTTCGAACCATCACCAAATAGCACGCAACTAACCCATAACTATATTCTCCAGCAAAATCGCGCCTGCCCCCGGAAAGTGCTACACAACGGCCGATAATCCCCCCTTAAGGAAATGAATCGACCTCATATACTCTGAACCTCTGGTGAACTCCTCAAGACTTCTCGTCACGTCTGCCTTCAGTCGTTCCAAATCTCGTACCAATTTAGTACCAAACAACTCAACTGCTCGATAACATCCCTGGCTCATAGACTGAACCATAAAATCATCGTACCCCTCACCTCAACTCATTAACCAACGCTCCAACACTAGGATCATCCCAAGAACAGGAACCCACTCCCAAATTCAACACCCCATGGATAGAAAACTCTCGGCACCGCTGAACTCGACTGAACTCCCCGCTTATACCACTACCGTACACCCGATTAAACTCAATTAGGTATAGCGTGGCCCTCGACTATCTCAGTCCCAACTGACTATCTGCTCATGATAGATCACTGCCTCGCGGCACACATGCTACCTGATACTTTGGTGGGAAATCATCATCAATGATGACCTGCAGGGTTTACCCCTAAACCCAAAACCAAAACATCATGCTTCTCATATTTTTCACACGAGCATAATCAGTACCTCCCAGATCATAGGAGGTGACATCTCCTTTATCGACTGATCGCCCGACTCAGATCGAAATTCTCCCTTCTCACTAACTCCTTACTAAAATACTCTGAGGGGCTCTCGATCTCCCCCTCAAGGGACGCCTCTTCGAACTTACTCGTGACCGAATAACCGGAGAACCACAAACATCATTCACTACGAACCATGGTACTCATTCCATGACATCTCTTCTCAATATGCCCCGGTGTATGGTACCCTAACCATAACATCACTCCCCAATCCGCTCCGATGTATGGTACCCGGACCATAACATCACTCCTCAATCTGCTCTGATGTATGGTACCCAAACCATAACATCACTCCTCAATCTGCCCTGATGTATGGTACCCGAACCATAACATCACTCCTCAATCTGCCCTGATGTATGGTACCCGAACTATAACATCACTCCTCGATCCGCTTCGATGTATGGTACTCAAACCATAACATCACTCCTCAATCTGCTCTGATGTATGGTATCCGAACCATAACATCACTCCTCAATCTGCCCTGATGTATGGTACCCGAACCATAACATCACTCCTCGATCCGCTCCGATGTATGGTACTCAAACCATAACATCACTCCTCAATCTGCTCTGATGTATGGTACCCGAACCATAACATCACTCCTTAATCTGCCTTGATGTATGGTACCCGAACCATAACATCACCCCTCGATCCGCTCCGATGTATGGTACTCAAACCATAACATCACTCCTCAATCAGCTCTGATGTATGGTACTCGAACCATAACATCACTCCTCAATCCGCTCCTTAGAACCTTCAGAATACTCCCTATATCAAGTATGGGTCCTCTTCTTTCAGTAGTACGGGCCCAAACTACCTGCCACATCTACCCATACTTTCCACACGGACCATCCCAGAGCTTCTAAATAGCTGCTCGACCTGCTCTTTCACCAATCCCATCGTGCGTGCTCGCTCCCCAGCGAAATTCTCTATTCTACAAGCGCACTCATCTGGATAGGGTTACTTCCTAGGCTCTTCCGTTGTCCTCCCACTTCTTTGCTATCAGCTGCTGAAGAGCTCCTAATGATGCCAGCCATCTACCTCCTGAATATCGTCATATTCACTTGGTAGCTGACTCCCATCATCGAGAATTCCACAAAGCACAAAGCAAGCAGCATTCGAGCATTGAAGAATACATAGGACTCCCTCTCTATGATAACTCCACTTTCCCGGCTCAACCTTGAAAGTAACACCGAACTCTGTAACTCTACCCACCATGGGTTCTAACTGGATACTCTCACTCATCACATACTCAAAAGCATGGCACATATAACGATGAGTCCTAGGCTAAGGCATCACAAATCAGGCCACTGTAGTCCTAACATATGAAATACCTAGCCTGTCTCTAGCATGCAATAATATCTCATAAAGTGCATCATAAATATCTCATAATACAAAAGTAAGGGTATTTTGGGAAATCACCGTTCGGGCTCTGGCTGATTGTACACACTGCTCTTTCTTGCTTTCTCTTTGAACTCTTATTCACTTTTAGAAAATTATTCACTTATTCATTTATTCATACCTCAATGTTACAAATTGAGAGGTTTTACTCTTTACGAGGTTATTATAGAATATTGTAATTTCTTTTATTTAAATACAGTAATAGCTTACAAAATACTTTAAGATGTCTCATATGTTTAACATATTGGAAAATATTGAGTAGTTTGTTAGTAATCTTTAATTCACAGTATATAAGATAGTTAAAAGTTAAAGAATAATAAATATTTACTATGTATATATATATATATATATATATATATATATATATAGTTATTGTAACTCTAGCCCAACAAAGTTACATATAATGGTTTAAATGGTCCCTCGTGACTATTTTTTGCGTTTTAAGGGCTTAAACTTGTTGATGACCGATTGAGAAAGTCACCTTACCCATTTTAGCAGGTAAACCTGCATCGTCACTTGCCATGTATATGTATGAGGTAACTCACTGAGTCAATACCGAGTTGACTCGATGACACATAAGCTGGCACATGCAGATTAGTAATCATCGCCTTTAATGTCCACCAACACCCCAACAACCGTTCACTGTCGATTCAATTGAGTCCCAGGCACAAGTCTTGAATTATAAGGGGACATACGCATGTGGGGTTTGAAGTAAAACAAATCTGAAACTTGTTTACCATTTTCGGGAAAACAATCTTGTGGAAGAACCCTTAAAAAGCAACAATGCCAGCTCCACCACCTTCACCCAACTCTATAAATTATGGTGAAGACATCAACTACAATGTGCTCCACTCAATCTTCTGTGATTGTGGTCCGAAGATTACAGAAAACCAAACTGAAATGAAAATGTTGAAGGAGCAGCTAGGACAAGATTATATCGTTTGCAGGATCGACCATATCAGTCTCCAGCACAAGCTGGATGATCATGATCAGAAGTTTAAAGTCGTTGGTGTTGCTCTGGGTGGCATGATGTTGGAGATGCTCTTGTTGCTAGTTGTTGTGCTCCATTTCCTTGTTAAGCTTTGGTTATGGGTTGATCTGCAGCTAAGGTGGTTAATGGTTAAGAAGGTTATTAGTATGTAGTGTTCGTGTGTCTTATTTTTTTTTTCTTTTATTTCTGTTTATTTTGGAGAAATATGTAAAAGTGCTGTCTTAATGACAGACATTTTGTAAGTGAAATCAAATGATTAATGAAAGACCTATCAAAATGATAGGCATTTTGTAAAGATGTCTGATGTTCTTTGCCGATTGTTTTTGATCTGAAGATGTCTGATGTTCTTTGCTGATTGTTTTTGATCTGAATTAGTTCTTAAGTTTGATAAACGGATCCGTTGAAAGTGCAATAGAGGGGGTAATATAGTCTTTTACACAGTGGGGGTAATGTAACACCGTAAATTTCAAGACAAAATTTTCATTTAAAATAATCATTTTATTCTTAGAAACACTTGTTTAAAATCTCATTCATAGTCGATTTACAAAACATGACTCCATTTTCACTTGCATAGAAAACCAGGATCCTCCAAAATATGACTCTTTCTCTGGTGTGTACAATCAAGCCGGTGCCGTCCCGTGATACTGAAAGAAACCTGAAAAACATTACACAAAACACTGTAAGCACGAAGCTTAGTGAGTTCCCCAAAATACCACACATAACACATATTAGCCACTCGAGGCTATAACTCTATGGGTCCGTGCACCCAAACTCTGTGAACCCTCGGGTTCTAACTCTGGGAACCTTCCGATTCCAACTCTATAAACATGCACATCATAAATCACATAGAAGTAATGCAGTACAACACATCACGTACATATAGCATACAAATACTCTGATCACATAACTCTGGTTACCTACTCAAGGTAAAGTATAGTGAGAAGACTCACCTGGCAAGCAGAAAGCAGATATCCCCACACTTGAATCTCGAACTCGCCACCGCCTAACACGTAAGGCAAATACTCTCACGAATATAACTCTCGAGACTAGAATAAATCCACTCATAACACCCTCTTATGGGTAAAAGACTATTTTACCTCTCTCTTGGCCCAAAGGCCACATCGCTGACCAAACCCTAAAAGTCAACGGCCAACCCTTGGTCGGAATTAAAGTCCTCAATCTAAGTCAACCCCTGACTGACCCTACTCGCCGAGTTACCATAATCAGAACTTCACTCAATCTGCGACCTAACTCGCCGAGTCACCCCGAGACTCGCCGAGTCCAACAACTTTGAGTCCACTCGCACACGACTCACCAAGTCATCCCTCGACTCACCGATTCTCGACTCAACCAGAGAATATTTGGGACTCTTCGACAAGACACGTCGAGTCCAAGAACAGACTCGCCGAGCCTACGGCTATCTTCAACCTACTCGCCGAGTTGTTCATACAACTCGCCGAGTTCCAGGCCATCTTCATCCAACTCGTCGAGTCCACCCATGTGACTCGCTGAGTACCACCAGTCTGAATACATTCCGAAGCATTCCAGGCCATGCAACTGCTCCAAAACATAGATCTAGTCTCCTACCACTCATCCATCACGTAAAGTGGCAAACTTTACGTGAATCCAAAGAGATCTAAGCCGTTTGCACATTGGGCTAGGGTTTGGGACATGTAAGCTTCACTAAACACTCCAACACAGGGACTTTCATGCTCTCTGATTCTTCTCCCTTCCAGATCTGAGGTAGCAACCTCAGATCTAACCTCTAAACTTCCCATTTCATCCATAGATAATTTTTCACAAACCCCAAAATGAAGAAACAACATAACAACAGGTCAATAACGAGATATTACCTCTAAGTGATGCCCCAACTGCAATGCAATTCGAATCCAAGCAAATCCCCTTGCTCCAAGCCTTCAATCTTCCCAAAATTCCTTTAACCATTACTTCTCCAAGCTCCAATCCACTTAACAATGGTGCTTCTCCGTGATTTAGGGTTTTCTGGAGCTCAAGGGGTGATAAAGAGGCTGGGAGGAAAACATAGTAATCTTTATATAAGGCTCAACCCCGAGAATTAGGGTTTTCTCCACTCAGCACCTACTCGCCGAGTCCATTACACTGACTCGCCGAGTCGGCCACTTAACACGCGACCAAGTCGCGACTCTACTCGCCGAGTCCGCACATGGACTCGCCGAGTCACTCTTTCCCTATTTACTCTTTTAGCCCTTCAACTCTACTCTTGATATTTCGGGATGTTACAGGTAATGTAGTCTTTTTTATGCACTGCTCCTTCATATATACTTTCTTGCATTCATTCTAGCACATTGTTTTCTTCTTCAAATACTTTTCACTGTGAAGGTACATAATGAAGAACATGGAATGTGGATGTGGAGTTGAGGCTATAATAAGAACATCTCGTACTACCAATAACCCAGGAAGGCCCTTTTATGCATGACCGAAAAAGGTAATTTACCAGTTATTCAAATTTTGGTGTTAACCCTATTTTTTTAAGATGTGTTAATTGAAGTAAATACTTGGAATCAGGATGCTCGTTCAGGTTTTATAGCTTGGGTTGATGAAATGGAGTGCAACAATGAAGGTTTGATCATAAATGGGTTGTATAAGTCCAAAAAAAAGCTTCAGGTTGAGGTCTTTAAGTTGAAGGTTTACCTAGTATGTAGTTGGGTATTTTTTCTCTTTAATCATGTACAAGTTGTAATGAAGGTCAGTTGGACCAGTTGTCTTGTTATGAATCTTGTAATGCACTTTGATGTCTTTTGAAACTTGTAATGTACTTTATTTCCTTTAAGTTGTTATGTAATCTGTAATGTACTTTATTTAATTGAAGTGGTTATATTTGGGGTTTGATGTGTTTTGTATGTACGAAATATGAACAATCAAATTAAACAAAGTTAACACTTAAATCCAACCAAACACAACAAATTTAAAACATAACAACTTGTCCAATTCCAAACTTAATAACCTACTACATCCCAATACCAAACATAACACTTAAATCCAACCAAACACAATCAAGTTAAAAGATAACAACTAAAACAAAATAAGATCCTAATCATTAAGCTCCAATGGGTTCGCACTTGTTTCTCCTTTCCCATCTTTGCCCTTCACCATCTTAGCAAGTTTCATCTTTATGATTCTCTCTTATTTCTTTCTTTTAGATATCCTTCCAACAACAACAACTGTTGCTCCTTGACCCTTTTGCCCTTCGTGCACTGATTTTGCTTCTGGACCATTTTGCCCTTCATTGCCACCTCCTGCTCCTTCACCTTTCTTTTTTTCCATTAACACCTCCTGCTCCTTCACCTTTTTCATTGACCCCTCCTGCTGCTTCACCTTTTCCATTGACACATGTTTTCCTTTTTTTAACATTTAGTTTGGGCCTCCTGCCAACTTTAGGTTTTTGCACTTGATGTCTTTCAGCTTCAGAACATGTGACCTTGTTATGCCCCACATTTTTACAAACACTGCATGCTATTTTTTTCCCTGCCTTAGATACAGTGTGCCTTGGTAGCTTCTCTGATGCATCTCTTCTTCTGTTAACCTTTGGTCTACCTAGCATTCTTCTCTTGATTGGTGGAAGAGGTGGTATGGAGTTAGTAGGTGGCCACATGTTGCTACCATTCATCCCCTGAATTAGATACTTATAGGTGTTCTTGTAGACTGCTCCATAGAACATTGTATCAACATAACCACCAACATCTCTATTGAGGAATGATATAGTTGCAACTGAATGCACACATCCATACCCATTAAGTTGCCACACTCTACAAGTGCAAGTCTTCTTGTCCAGGTCAACAACATAGGACTCATCCATGTTTCTTGTTTCAAACTGGTTAAGACCACTTGGTAAATGTGACATCCTCATTTCACGGCCAGAAAAGACCGATTGTTTATGCTTTATAAAAATCAGAGTTCTTCTTTTAATAAAAATGTTGCGAAATTTGTTCCCAGAAAAACACGATAAATACGTTATTAAAACATTTTCGAAGAAACTTATTTTATTCATTTTAAAACGTTTGGGATGTCATCGTTAATACAGAAACATAAACATAAACAGAACTTACATTTATTTACATTAGTGATCTACATCTCTTTAAATCTCTCAGTGTAATGTGACTTCATATCAACACCTGTGATATAAATAAAGTGAGTGGGTCAGGTTGGGAAACCTGGTGAGTACATAGGGTTTTCAACCCACAATAATTATTATGTTTAAACAATCAAACAATCAACCCAATTACCTATCCCCATGATCTTCTTTTAGTCTTCCCTAAAGATATTATCTCAAGGGTTATCTCCTATATCATATTTACTTCTCATCTCCTTACATCGTATTTCCTTATATGATTGTTCCTATGAACTTTACCTAAGGATCATCGCCTACATTGCATAGACAATACTAATTCGGGGATTACTCTCCCAATATGTGTCTAGCAAGGGTTAGGGTATCATCACATGATTACGCAGCCACAACATCGCCTGGACTTGTAAATCATGATAAGGGTTAGTCTATCATCGCATGAATACGTAGTCACAACATCGCCTGGACTCGTAATTCATAATAAGGGTTAGATTATCATCGCATGAATACGTAGCCACAACATCGCCTGGACTCGTACTTCATAATAAGGGTTAGACTATCATCGCATGAATACGTAGTTACAACATCACCTGAACTCGTAATTCATCACCTACAGGTTATGAGCATGCTAGTGTTTCCACGGGGTTGTCTATAATAGTCCGTCGTCGCCATCTATACTCTGGTAGATGACTACATCTCCAAATTGTCGGACAAGGTTGTAGTATCCTACATCACCGATTCATAATCACCTATCTATCCTCACCTAATTATTGTCACCTTCCTATCATCACCTATCTCTCATTATTTTATTTCATCACTCACCAACTATTTCATCTACCCATGTTTTATCCCAACATATTTGTAGATATAAAACAAATATACAGTTTAAATCATTTAAAACATGTATAAATCATTCATCCAGCATAGACAACAAGTATTCAAATAATATGCATACATAGCATGTAATTTATGTAAAATACTTCATATCTATGTGTAAGATGAAAGTAACTATGCACTCACTTGATTAGGTGGTGAGTCGGCACTCAGACA